AATTCAATTTTTAGATTTGCAATTTTTCAGTTTTGAAATTTTTCGATATTAAAATTTTTTATTTTCGATTTTTCAGTTTCTCAATTTATAATTTTTCGTTTCCTCGATTTTTCAACTTTTTGATTTTTATTTTTCATTTTCCCAAATTTTTAATTTTAATTTTTTCGACAATAATTTTTATTTTCTCATTTTCTTAATTTTTTAATTTTTCTGATGTTTCGGTTTCATAATTTTTCCTTTTTGAAACTTCAATTTTTTAATTTTCCAATTTCTCGACTTCGAAATTTTAAAATTTTTCGATATTACAATTTTTTTTCGATTTTTCAGGTTTTCAAGTTTTCCATTTTTATTTTTCGTTTTCCTGATTTTTTAAGTTTCATTTTCTCGATTTTATATCACAATTTTTCGTTTATTCAATTCATATCTGATTTTTCAATTCCTCGATTTTCTAGCTTTTAAATGATGCAGTTTTTGGATTTTTCAATTCTCCGATTTTCCGCTTTCTTTAATTTCCAATATCTTATACTATTAAACGAGCAAAGTTTGTATATATATATCTATATATATATATAATGGGTTTCTCGAAAACGGCTCTAACGATTTCGATGAAATTTACAGGTTGGGGGTTTTTTGGGTCAAGAAATCGATTCATCATAGTTTTAACTTCTGAAAATTACAGCTTCATGCATTTTCAGCAATTTTCAGGCAGTGAATTATATTTGTTGCTAGGCAACTTCAGATGACACTACACGAACACGAGATTGTTTTATAACAGAAGTTTGGGTGACAGTCTGACAGTACGTTTGACGTACCTTTTTATCTTCAATTGTACGTACCGAAACATACTCCACTGTATAGAGGACGTTAAAATTCACCTTCTGAGGTTAGAAAATTTACCGAAAACTAAACAGTGAGCGGATAAAAGGCACACGAAAGTGCGTTGAATTGAGATTATTTTGTCAAACATTCATTTCAGAGGTTCCACGGTCGGAGTCAATGTGTGATCGTTTTCCGGGATGGGACCGTGTTATTTGAGTTTTTGGGCTCAACGTTTCGCACACTTTCGTAAGTGGCATCTTCGGGAGCAGGGTGGAGATTGAGAAATTAGGAATAACGCAAAAGAGCACGGTAACTCAGTATGTTAACCACACCAGAGCCGAAACTCTTCTGGCAGTAAGAATGTGGTTGTGACCTTTTTCTCGAGTCGAGAGAGAGAATTAGGAAAAAAAAAAGAACGACAGAGAGAAAACTTGGGTAACAAATAAGATTGTAGTAAATGTCAAACAATAATTCCAGTTTTCTGTTCTTTAATCTCTACATGTCACTTATCAGTGTTTAAAACAAATACTGCTTATGGAATTTCTTTTTTAATGTGTATTTTTAATTAGCGCTTCTACTTCAAAATGCATACTATACGCATATTTATCTGTCCTAATCTGATCTAATACTACCAAACGAACCGAGTGAAGCTCGGTCAACCAGATATTTTCGATTTTATAATACATATTTGGTTTTTTCGATTTTTAATTTTCAATTTTTTCTTTCCTCAATTTTTTTTTCAAAAGTTCTTGATTTCGAATTTTTAATTTTTCAAATTTTCATTTTAAACTTTTTCGTAGTTTTATTTTTGATTTTTCAGTTTTATTTTTTCTTTTTACTTCCCGAGCGTAAGCAAAGGAAGTATTGTAATCGAGTCCGTCGGCCGACTCTCTACTTTTACGTTTTCTCGATCTTTCATGACCCCTAGAAGACGAAGAAATAGGTCTCCCATTTCCGTCTGTCTGTCCGTCTGTCCGTCCGTCTGTCCGTCTGTCCGTCCGTCTGTCCGTCTGTCCGTCCGTCTGTCCGTCTGTTGTCCCGGATTTTTATTAGACAGATAATCTCCGAAAGTACTCGACCGATTGTTGTGAAATTTTGTACTTATATTAAGAATATCATGTAGATGGTAAAACGCTAACCAAAATTTGTCTAATCATCCCCACCACTAATGCGATGACGTCACTTCAAAATTGTACATAGTAAATGGGTTTGCAATTGTATAAAATAACATAGTCCTACACATGTAGTTTACAACTCCGAATCGACTTTTCACCCGAAACGTCCAGATTTTTGGAAAAAAAATCAAAATTATAAAACAACATTTTGAAATTTAATTTTTAATCTGCTAACCAGAATGCTTTGAAATGTTGCAGATGTTTTAAGGCTATAAAGAGCATCATAAATCTTTAGTCAAAAAATATTTGCTTACCCCCTCCAAAAACTTGATGACGTCAGCTCAAAAGTTTGTGGAATAAATCATATCTAAAATGTACAAAATATGATGAGTCTGTACTTGTGATCTATCACTCCATTCATATTTTTTGGATTTGCATATACAGGGTGACTCAAAAAAATTAATGAATGCGTAAATATATTTTATTGATTTAATCAGGAACTACAAAACCGAATGCTCTGAAATCTTGCAGATGTTTTAAGGTCATAAAGAGCATAATAAATGTTTAGTCAAAATATATTTGCTTATCCCCTCCAAAAACTTGATGACTGCAGCTCGAAAGTTTGCCGAATAAATCTTATCTAAACTGTACAAAATATGATGAGTCTGTACTTGTAATTTATCACTCCATTCATATTTTTTGGATTTGCATATACAGGGTGACTCAAAAAAATTAATGAATGCGTAAATTTATTTTTTCGATTTAATCATGAACTGCAAAACCGAATGCTTTGAAATCTTGCAGATGTTTTAAGGTTATAAAGAGCATAATAAATGTTTAGTCAAAATACATTTGCTTATCCCCTCCAAAAAATTGATGACGTCAGCTCGAAAGTTTGCCGAATAAATCATATCTAAAATGTACAAAATATGATGAGTCTGTACTTGTGATCTATCACTCCATTCATATTTTTTGGATTTGCATATACAGGGTGACTCAAAAAAATTAATGAATGCGTAAATTTTTTTACTGATTTACTCAGAAACAACAAAACCGAATTCTTTGAAATCCACTGCGAAAAAAAAAACATAATAGGCATGCAGTCGTCACGTTTCCGACAGCGAGGGAAGTACTGTCGAAACTCTTTAGACCAATTTTTTTTTATTCGAAAAGTTGAAATATTAAAAACTGAAAAAATGCAAAATTGAAAAGGTGGAAAATCGAAAAATTGTAAACCGAAGAACTGATGAAATGAAAAATTGAAACATTAAAAAACTACTTCTAAATTTTTCAATTCAATTTTTCGATTTGCAATTTTTCAGTTTTAAAATTTTTCACTTTTGATTTTTCAGTTTTTCAATTTTTAATTTTTCGTTTCCTCGATTTTTCAACTTTTTGATTTTTATTTTTCATTCTCCCAACTTTTTAATTTTAATGTTTTCGACAATAATTTTTCGTTTTCTCATTTTCTTAATTTTTTAATTTCTTAATTTTTCTGATGTTTCGGTTCCATAATTTTTCCTTTTTGAAACTTCAATTTTTTCAATTTTTCAATTTCTCGACTTCTAAATTTTAAAATTGTTCGAGATTACAGTTTTTTTTTCGATTTTTCAGTTTTCATTTTCTCGATTTTACATATATGTATTACAAATTTTTCGTTTATTCAATTCTTCAAATTTTCAATCTCTGATTTTTCAGTTTCCCGATTTTCCAGTTTTTAAATTTTGCAATTTTTGGATTTCTCAATTATCCGATTTCTTTAATTTTCAATATTTCGATTTTATAATATTTGGTTTTTTGATTTTGCATTTTTCCGATTTTTAAGTTTCTCAATTTTTGATTCGAAAAGTTGAAAAATCGAAAAACCGAAAAAACCAGAAATTGCAAAATTGAAAAGGTGGAATCGTTAACAGATCGAAAAATTGATAAACTAGAAAAATCGAGAAATTCAACAATTAAAAATCGAATAAATGACAAAGTTTTATATCCAAAAATTGAAAAATGGAAAAATTCTAAAATCGTAAAACTGGAGTGTAAAAGTTTAAAATTATAATTATCATTACATATTTAAAATGAAAACTAGAAAAACTGCAAATCAAAAATTGAAAAAACGAAAAATTAAAAATCCAAAAATTGAAAGATTTCAAATAAAAAAAAAAGAAAAACGATAAAATCCGGACATTGAAAAACCGAAAAATGAAAAATTGAGGAATTAAAAATGAAAACTTGAAAAAAAAATCGCAAAATTGCAAAAATACAGAAAATAAAAAATCAAATCGAAATTTTGAAAAATCTAAAAATTGAAAAATTCAAATCAAAAAAGCCGCGGAAGCCACTGTTATACACAAATCTCGCATTTTTTAAACAACCGGCTATACTTTAGGGGCGAGGGAAGTACATACTTTCTTGTAACTAGGACAAATTTACAAGTCTTAACCGAGGTGCTTCCCATGCAATAGGAACATCAGTAATTTTTACATTCTTGGTGTGGCACCAATGTTGCATACAAGCCCACAACGCAATAGCTCAGGTGTGCCATCTTAATAACACACAATACTTCTGGAGCAAAGTTACCAGAATTCAGATACGAAAATAAACGAGATCTACCTTATTGGTCACACCCTCAATATCAAGTTTCCTAATCAAGCGCTGGCGACGTGATGCCTAAAAACTAATCTTGTTGATGCACAAACAGGTTGATATTTTTGACATTTCAAGGTTAGGTTTTAGCCGAATTGCAAGAGCGCTTCACTCATTTCTTTCAATTAATAAATTTTGCCAGTTTTATTTATACCAGCAAGGCTCACTCTAATCCAAGTGGTTTGGAACAGTGTAGCCAACCTGAGAAAAACATTACTAACAGTCGCGCCACCTCGTGGTAACAATTTTTCCACTTTTTTTGCTCTTTCACAATTTTGTGTTTTCACTAGTTTCGTGTAGTCATTTCCGATATTTCACCAACTTTTTTGTTACCTCCGCTATTTCCAAACTCAGTCACTATCGTTGATCCAGCAACAATCCCCCAATTTTCACACACATTTCCCCCTACACTCCACCCCTACTCACGATTGTCGTCTTCTAAATTCTCGAGTTTGACTTCCTCCAGCGGAATGATATGTTGCTTGTTATACTTCTTCTTGTTGATGATGATATTCCCGTACACTAGTATGTCGTTGAACAGGAAGAACTGCCTAGTCTTGGGTTTCTTGCGGCACATTTTCACCAGCACGCCCTCCCCGACGAGCACGCGTCCGGGCACCTCCAGCGGCTGGCCCGAGTTCCCGAAGCAGCTCTCCACCGTGGCTATCCGCCTGGTGTTGGCCTCGCTGTTCACTAGAACGGGAACCACACAGTCGGGAATTACTATCGCCACGGCCACTTCCATCGCGGCAATGAGGGTGTCGAGGAAGTGGGCAACGAGAACGCGCTCGAAAACCCAGGTAAACAGACCATGAAGAGCTGGACGGTATTAAATTAACCTTATAAGGGGCGGGTGGGAGAGGGCGAGGAGCGGCTGGATGGGAGGGAACGGGCGGGAAATGGGGGCTCGGGAGCGTGGCAGAGGAGGAACTCACCCAGTTTGTCCACCATTTCCGCCGATTTTCGCGATTTTCGCAAACACCACTGCCCACTTTCCCCGGATGACAGCTGGCGTTTGTCAAATGTGACGCACACGCCTCAGGCAGGCTGGCCAACTGACCGAGTTCGAGATTGTTTGATAAGAAAAGGGGAGAAATTGAGTTATCAAAAGCAAAAAATACCACTGGAAGACTACAATGGGTACTTGAAGATTTAATAACGCGAAGTGGAAATCAAGTTGTGCGGAAAACACGAAGCGTAATTTATACGCACGTGTGTATTTTGTGTTGCCTAACGAAAAGGGGGACCATTATTTTTTGAATATTGATAAGATAATTTAGCAACATAAATTTTATTTATTTATTTTTAATCGACTTTCAGTGTCATTTTAATAATACTACTCTCATTTAACTGAATCGTTATAACAAAATACGTAGCGACGTTCGCCACCAAACTAAAAATCAAACTTTTGTTGATAGTAAAAAACCCAGCGGCACTAAACTCCTTAATAAACTCTTTGGAGCAAAGCGTGACATTAACTAAGTCTTGAATATCCGAATTATCAATAAAAGTCTCTTGTAATTTACACGATAAGTGAATAAATTTTTTAGCTTCGTGTATAGTAGAGTCTATGGGTAGAGTGATTTTCCAAAAATGATACTACAACAAAAAAATATATAATATACTTACAATGACAAAACAATCACTTACTGATATTAACACTAGCAAAGAAATATTTGAGAGCAGAAGATGTTGACTCAAGTGTCTTCCAGCTATGGTGTAAGACACGAAACTTATATTCAGACAGTTAACTAAAGCCAGTCCACCATGAAAAATAATCAGTAAAATCTGATAACCAAAAATATTGTTAAATATTTCAACAGTTTCGCCCAAAACTCGGTACTCTTTATTAATCTGTCGTAAACTGTCTCTAATTTTGATTTCTTTCTTCACGTTGGCGAGCTTCTCGTTCAAATCTTCGTATCTGCTCTTGAAAGCTTGGACTAACCCTCTTAGTAAAAGTATCACCAAGAACAGATAATAAGTTTCCTTCAAGGAGCTGATGCAAGCAATTTTTACTATCGACCGGTCAAAAAATTTCGACCAAACGTACAACTGGTAGATCATCACAAACGCAAAAAATGCGTGTTCAATCACCAATCGACAGTAGAAATTGTTTAACAAACAGTCTTCAGCGTTTTCTTTATTGTATAGATTTTTGTCCAGATATTTAAAATTTTGAAATAGTCGTTTCCAGTTTCTTCCATCGCAAAAACACGACTTCAATATTGTTAAAATGTTAATTGTTAGCAGATTTATGTAGCACGTCCAGAAAATGAATTTTTGCGATAGCAGGAAGTATGGGCTCATTTGATCGATGGTTGTGTCCATTACGGTGTACGTTACCCAGAGGAAGTTTACCGTGATTAAAAGGAAGCCATATAATTTGCACCAGTTGGGACGATAGACGTCATTTTTTTGGAAATCGTACCATGGAGTGACGAGAAAAATACCCAGATAGTTGTACAGCGGAACGATGAAGTTGATATCTTTTATTGAATACGTGGAACTCATGGTGACGTTTTGGTTGTTACTGAGTGACTTAATCATGGGATTGCGGTATAAACAGGAAAATAACCACACAGGAAATTAATAGAGGTGCGGCACTTGAAGATTTAATCAATAAAGTAGAGAGAAATATTTTAAAAATGTGAAAAGTTCTTGCAGTAAATCCAAGATTAATGTGCTAGTTTCTAGGTATCTTAGAAAGTCTCGAAATGTAATTGTGTAGACTGTTTAGTCATATTAATAAATAGTACAAACAATATGCCAAATTACCTTGTGTATCCTACGTCCCTTAATTAATTGGTTCATTCATTCTTTGTACTAAACACAGATCAATACCCAACAACGTCTAATTTCTCAACATTCACCATGCTCACTTTTTCAGTAAAAGACATCAATTTCATCTACCCCCTATGTTCTTATATGCGCATTTTTCTCATCACCCCGTGGTACGATTTCAGCAAAAACCGCGAATATGCACCACATTTATCAAAAATCTACGGAATCGGGCTAATTATCGTGAAAATCTGCATCACAATCTATACTTCAATGGTTCGAACCGTCGGAGAAACTCTGTCGAAATTTTTGTTCAGTCAGAAGGTCTGCTTCTATGGAGTTTACATCAGTTTCATGTTTTTGGACATATTGACGATTTTGAAATCCGCTTTCTGGCACGTCAACACCTGGAAAAAATTGTTCAAGTACTTGCAGCACGTCGATCTGAAATTATCGAATCGGGGACAACGCGAACCCTCGATCTGGAGAAATTTTTATTTGCAGTTTTTTCTGAAACAAATTGCTTTTGGGGTTGTTGGCACCTACCAGATGTATGTGTGGTGTACCTTAATGCAAATGTCTGGGATGACTCTACTTTTTTTTAACGGAGTTATGCAAGCGTACGTCGAATATTTGATAGTACTGCTAGTGAATGGGATAGTCCAAGGGTTCAAAAGTAGATACGAAGACTTGAATTTGAAGTTCTGTCAAGCTAGAAAGAAGGGGACGATTTTGTCAGAAATTAGGAGTTTAGTGGAAATCTACAGGATGTTAGGCGAGTCTGTCAATATTTTTAACACACTGTTTGGTTATCAATTTATTTTGATAATATTCCGATTCGGGATTGAATTCATCAATGCGTTGAATTCGTCTTACATTTCGGTCATAGTTCCTATTGATCGTGGGTTTTATGGACAGCTTTTGCTCAGCAGTGCGTTGGTTATGATGTTGATGACAGTAAGTTGTTTGGTTGGGTGATAAAATGATAATATTTTGTTTCAGTACAGCTTGTTGACGGTTGTACTTCCCATTCATTGTACGACACAAGAAGCCAAAAAATTTGTGGATTTGTGTTACCAACTGCAACAAGAGTGTTCTGATGACAGTTACGAGGAAAGTTTGAAAAAATGGACCAGTATTAGTCAACGATATATGCCCGAGTTTAGTGCCGCTGGGTTTTTCAACATCAACAAAACCCTCCTTTTCACGATAGTTGGTAATGTGGCTACGTATTTTATTATAGCAGTGCAGCTGAATGAAAGCGAATATTCCAAAATAAGTACTTGGTGAAAGTATAACAATGTAGTCAATAAAAATCAATTTATTAATTACTACCGCCAGCTCGTGTTACTGATCCGGCAGCTCGCTTCCTGTGCGCCATTAATTAATTTCCTTAATAGTAGAAATATTAGTCAGATAAAGTCCGAGCACGATGAAAATGCTGGTTAAATTCATGTCAAAAGATTTAATTTTTCTGCGCCACTTGTGTTGGTACTTGAATTTATTGCTCATAACACCTTGGTACAACTTCAACACTAACTCCTTCCAACACCTTCGTTGGTCCAAAGTGTATGGAATTTTTCTCCTCTCGATCAAAACATTTCTAATCGTCTACTCCATACTGGACGAAAGTATCCAACACCTGTACGGAAAAATGTTCTTCTCGCAGAAACTATTCTTCAGTGGGTCGTGCATAATCGTGACAGTACTAAACGTGGTGACTATTTTCAACTGTTGCTACTGTAAGTTAGACCAATGGAAAACTCTCTTTACAAATCTACACTCCATACAAGAAAAAGTACACACAGGAGTGTGGAAGAACTTGTACGTGACCATTGTCACCAAACACACTGTATTTGTACTCTTTCTACTGTACATTTACTACGTTTGGTCAAACGTTATGGGTGTAGCGTTCTACAAAGTTGCCATTTTAAGCGGCTTCATGGAGCTCTACTACGAATTTTTGATAATTCTTCTAATTACTAGTTTAGTTGGGTGTTTGAAACGAAGATACGAACAACTAAACGACAATCTACGAAAACTCCGAGGACGAAACAATCTGGAAATAGTCGTGCATCATTTAATACGTGATTATCGAACTTTAGCGGAATCAGTGGAAATTTTTAACACTTTGTTCGGCTATCAAATCATTTTGATAATTTTCCACTGCGGATTGACACTTATCAACAGCCTCAATTTCACTTTTCTTCGTCTCGTTATCAATATTGATGACCGTTTCTACCAACACAGTTTGGTGTCAAATGTGTGCTTCTTGGTGATCATCCTGGTAAGTGTAATTTTGTCGGAAACGCTTTGGTTATTGTCTTTTTTAGTACAATTTTCTTTCTGTGGTGATCCCTGTTTCCACGACCGTCCAAGAAGCACGGAAATTCGTAGACTTGTCGTACAAGTTGCAGGATGTGGTGGGATTAGGATCGAGGGAGATGGATGTGTTGACGAAGCTCGTTGACAACTCGAAGGATTTTGTGCCAGTGTTTAGCACCAGCGGTGTTTTTATTATCAATAAAACTCTGATCTGTAGCGTCATCGGGAACGTAGCAACCTATTTTATTATAACGATTCAGCTAAATGAGAACGAATATCAAAAGATTTTGAAGAATTAGATAGACATGTTTTGTTACCAATTGGTAGTAATTTCCTAAAACGTTTTGCTCATTTTGTTTGTTTTCGATTAATTTCATTAATTTACATCAGTACAGTTTGTATAGCACGATGTTCAACATGCTTTCAGTAAAAGATATCAACTTCATATATCCTCTGTGTGTTTACTTGCGCATTTTTTTGATAACGCCGTGGTACGACTTTATCAAAAACCGCGACTCCGGACTACAAATATCAAGACTATATGGAGTTGCTTTCATAGCGTTGAGAGTATATTTCACCGTGTGCTCTGCAACAGACGATATTATGATAAACAACGTCTCACAATTTTTGATTACCCAAAAAATCGTCTATTTTGGTACCTACGCAGCCTTCTTCTCTATAAACGTTCTTAATTTCTTCAAATCTTCCTTCTGTGACATAGAAAACTGGAAAATTTTGTTTAGAAAGTTACACACTGTAGACAACAAATTAGAAAATATAGGCGACCAAGAAAAGTCTGCTTGGAAAAATTTCTACGTAGGGTTTGCAGCAAAGCAGGCCATTTTCGTTGGTGTAGTTGCATACGAAGTCTACATCTGGTCCTTAGTCATAAAGTTGTCGGTAGTCAAAATACTGTTTATTAGTGGCTTTGCGGAAATGTTCAACGAATACTTGCTAATCCTTTTAATGCGTTGTTTGGTTCAAGTGTTACAAAGTAGATATGAAGATCTAAACAACCGACTTTTGAACATGAAGGAGGTGGAAGTTTCACGGGTTTTGAAAAATCTGGTACATAGTTATAGACTTTTGAACGAGTGTGTCTACACTTTTAGTAATTTGTTCGGTTATCAAATTATTTTGATAATTTTTCATTTCTACATTGAGATCATTCATGGTTTAAATTTCACTTTTGTTTCGTTTGTAATTCCGGTGGAGAAGGTTTATTATAAGCATCTTTTGATCAGTGGTACCATTGTCCTCGTGCTTATGACAGTAAGTAGATTTGGTGTAACTCTAAAGGATGACAATGTGTTTCAGTACAACTTGCTGACGATCGTACTTCCTATACATGCTACGACACAAGAGGCCAAGAGATTTGTTAGTTTGTTGTATAAATTACAAGAAGAGTTCCCTGAAGGAAGCACTGAGGCGAAGAGTTTGGTCAAATGGACCAATATTAGCCAGCAGTACGTCCCAGACTTCAGTGCCGCTGGTTTTTTTAGTATCAACAAGACACTCGTGTTTACCGTAGCTGGAACTGTCGCCACTTATTTTATCATAACAATACAGTTAAATGAAAGTGAATATGCAAGAATGGATAAAGTATAAGAGTAATTTATTGGTGTTTGTATTGTCATATAACTGAGTTCACTCACGTGTGCACAAGATTAATAAAATATTTAATTGCGTGATCGGAACCAATTTGTTCGATTATCAATTAGTTAAACAAAAATCGACCCTCCATTGTGGAAATTAAAAAAACTTAGTTAGAAACGCAACACCGCTCTAACGATGAGCTTTCAACTATCGATCAAAGATATAAATTTTATTAAGTACTTGTGGCTGTACTTAAATCTTCCCTTAGTGACACCATGGTACGACTTTGACAAGAACTCTCCGTACAAACCGAAGCTTCAAAAAGCGTACGGGTTGATCTTGCTATCAGGTACTATCTTTCGGCTAACTTACGTGATGCTAGATCGAGAAAAACATGGCTACATTCCACGATCAGAAAAAAGTCAAAGCTTTACAGTGCTTTGTGTTCATGTAATTTTGACGTGGATAGCCGGTCTGGGGATTTTCAAGTCTTGCTTTCTGGATTTACAGAAGTGGAAAATTTTATTGACAAACTTGCGTCACATCGACAGAAAGTTAAAAAATGTTGGACAAGTCGAAACAAGCTTTTGGAAAAATTTCTACTTAATTTTATTCGTTAAACACGTGCTGTTCGTTACTAGTATAGGTTTTGGGGAGTACATATGGGTTCATTTTCAGCAGTTTTCAATTTTGCATTTGGTGGTTGGTACCTGCATATTAGAAACATATTATGAATTTCTCACGACTGTTCTTATCAACGCGTTAGTGCAGAGTTTTAAGAGCAGATACCAGGACCTCAACCATAGAATCTCAACGGTGTCTCGAGAAACCAAAATTGTTCAAAAATGGCGCGCTCTGGCTCAAGATTATCGACTTTTGGGGGAATCAGTCGAAGTGTTTAATGAAATCTTTGGTTGGCAAATTGTGCTGATGATGTTCCATTTTGGCTTGGAAATCGTTAACGCTTTGTACTTTAATTTTCTCGTTTCAGTTGGCAATCTGAAAACACCCTTCATCTGTCATCTAGCGAATTTCGTTCTGTGGTTGTGGATGCTGGTAAGTCACAAAGACACGTTTGCTTTAAACAAAACTTTTTTTAGTGTAATTTTTTGATGATTGTGTTACCAATTCACGCCACTCAAAAAGAAAGCCGAAAATTTATACAGTTGCTGTATAAAATGCAAGATTGCTTTGAGGAAAGATCTGTGGAAATTGATGCTCTTACTAGAATAATTAGTTATTCGAAAATTTTTACTCCGAAATTTAATGCGGCTGGGTTTTTTAGTATCGATAGGGCCATCATTTTTAGCCTGTTGGCCAACGTGGGTACCTACGTTGTCATAATGTTTCAAATAGATTTCAACGAAACAAGTTAATTGTGTTTGTGTGCAATACTATTATTATTATGTCAAAGAAAGTTAATAAATTAAAGTCCGCCTCCACTATTTTGTTATTTATCTTGTATTTTCTGTCTCATTTACGTAATTTATTTCTTCATACTCGCACTATAATTCAAACAATACACACATGTTCGCCCTTTCAATCAAAGACATTAATTTCATACACCCTCTATGCATCTACTTGCGCATTTTTCTAATAACCCCATGGTACGATTTTGACAAAAACCGCGACTGTGGACTTCAAATATCAAAAATATATGGAATTGTCTTAATAGTGTCAAAATTTTACTTCACCGTTCTTTCTGCAGCCGACGACATTATGCTAGAAATTGTATCAAAATTTTCGATTACCCAAAAAGTCGTCTATTATGGCGCTTTTGTCGCTCTGATATCCTTAAACACACTTACAGCTCTCAAATCCAGCTTTTTCGACCTGCAAAACTGGAAAACTTTGTTCACGAACCTTAAAATCGTAGACCAAAAACTAGGAAATACAGGTGATCGGGAACGATGTCTTTGGAACAACTTCTACTTGAAATTTGTAGCGAAACAACTAATTTTTTTTGCTTTAGTAGTGTATCAAGTGTATACTTGGTCCTATATCACACACTTGTCAGCGTTCAAAATATTGTTCATGACCGGATTCGTCGAAATTTTCAGCCAATTTTTGATAACCATCTTAATAAGCTGTGTACTCCAAGTGCTCGAAAGTAGATACAAAGGTCTAAACTCCAAACTCTTGGAACTAAAAAACAACGTGAAAGTCCCCCTTGAGATGAAAAATCTAGCCCGAAGTTATCGAATTTTAAACGAATGCGTCCAAATTGTCAACAATTTGTTCGGTTATCAAATTATTTTGATAATGTTTCATTTTGGTGTGGAGATTGTCCATGGGTTAAATTTTATTATTGTATCGTTCGACACTCCCGTGGAGGAGGGTTTCTATGGGCGATTTTTGGTGGCTAGTAT